GGGGGGGGGGGGGGGGGGCACACCAGAAAGAACGACGTAAGAAGGGGGGCGGAGGCGGGGAGAGGGGTACCCCCTTGTCGCTGGCCACGCAGCTCAGTTGAGACACAGCACCGCACGGGTTCAGTTCGCAGTCCCTCCCCCGTTTCGAGTTCGTCTTGTCCAAACCTCAAGCGTACACACCAACAACCCACTGAGGCAATTCGTCACCTACCCTCATCACAGATGGCGCTCGGTCCTTGCTTGGGATGCGAATGATGGTACCACTACGCACGTCACTTGCTTGCAATCCTTCTACATACCCGAACGGATTGCCTACTATGCCACCACGCTGTCTACTTAGAATATCAATACTGCAGTGGATCGGCCAGGGCTGCGCACTGTGCTGCTCCCCCCCCTCCCCTTGTGACGAGCTGCTGCTGTGGCCGTACAATACAGGTAAACCGCAACGCCATCGTCCCGGTGTGTTCTGCCATACATACCTCCACCAAGCCCTAGGGTCTCGTTTTGGGGTAGTCTTGGGGCGGTAGGGGAAGAACGTCTGCCAGTTGGCCAGGGCCGCTATGGAGTCCTTGAGGGAGAGCGCCTGTTCGTATTGCTCCGCGCGGAAGTCCATCTTGACGTCGTCCATCTGATGCAGCACGAAATGAACAAGGAGGAGGCATCATCACGGCTTACATCGTCCAAAAAAACAGGTACCAAACGGCATCATCAGTCTGATCGAATCCGATCCTCCACAACATCACTACCGCCACTATTAATAATACCAACGATAAATTGCGTACAGAAGGCAACGAAAGCAATAACAAACACTTTCAAGCGTCAGAGGTCGGCCTGTTATCCTTCATTTCATACTGCTCCAAACCAAGCCTTTCTCTTGGAACGTGACCTCGGTGGTAGTTTTTGCAAATGGCCACGGTTATCGACACCACGTACCCGAAAAAAAAATATATATACCTTAAACCTTCCTGCCGAGACTAGAACAGCTTGAACCGATACATAGGTGCACAGCAGAATGATCACGCGTCAACAGACACGAACCCAATCCCAACCACGCACGACGAAACGATCACGGGCGAACGCGTAACACAAGAAGACAAACCACACACCCATGACCACACGAAAGCCACAACAAGGCATAAAAACTACCAACAACAATTCCACACACACCGCAGAGCCCGCGACGCCTACAACACTCACCTCGAACGAAACCTCGAATTTGGGCCCCGTCTTGTCATCGGGGTGATCGCAGTGAATAACCTTCAGAACCGCAGTGATCGGCCGAATCAGGTCTCCCCTCTCCAGCCCCCCCCCGTTGTCCCCCGGCGGGGCCACCGCCTGCTCCGCCACAAACCTGCGAAGTGCGTCGCTCCTGAACTGCGCGGGGATCAGCTCGTACCTGCTTGGTTAATTCGAGCGCGCGCGCGAAACACACAGTAGGCGCAATTCAACCCCACCGGCATCGAAGTTGTGCCGCTCACACCAAGGCTATAAGAGTCAGAAACACGGACAGGGAATCCACATAAATACATGTTTGTCGAAAAAACAACACAACGGGACACCAGCTGCAAACAATTTGCGGATGGTTTTCAAGGGAGAATCAGAGTCGGTGGATTGGCGAATTATGAAATGCCCACAGGCGGAGAGCTCCCGTTTGATATTACCGCTGAGGTGTTGCCGCAGCTCGTAACTACCCAGCGCTGAAGCTTGCCGAGCAGTTCGTGTGACAGTTGTTCGTCCACTGCTCTACGTGCAGGTTCAGTAGAAACCCAGGCGAGGGCTTGNCCCCCCTTGCCCCCCCCCCCCCCCCCCCCCCCCTCCCTCTCTCCCTCATACATCCACAATCTCTCTCACTCAAATCTCACCCCAACACCACAATCCTAACTCTAGCGAGAGAGACAGGGAGGAGATAGCTACGCGTGAAACCCACGCCAAACCCATGAGAATCTCGCACCGGCGTGATGTTAACACTTGGGGATTGGACCGAGCACGTTAGCACACGACCGTGCGAATGATCTCGAGCAAGCGCACCCCATGAAGCAGCAAAAGCATCGCCACACCAGCGGCAACACACACCGCGGACGATGAACTAGCCGGAAGTTATGCCACAGTCAAGAATGTCGCTTGTGTGAGGGTGCAGGCATAAAACGTCACTGCTGCTGTTGCCTGTTTCAGACTTGACATGGAGCAAGGGCTGTGCCAATGGCAGCGCGGCTGGAGCTGGTTTCCTCACTGTCGTTTAGGGCGCACTGTGAGACGATGTGCTGCACTGCAAAGGTGCCGCCTTTCAGTATATCATCAACACCAACACTGTCTTCGCATCGCCAAAAAAAAAACACAACAAGAATATAGACAGGCACGACGACCATGCCTCACCTCTCCTTGTCGTCGACTCTCCAGTACAGGGAAAACCCCGTTACGCGGGCCAACTTGTGCACCTGCCAACCCACACGAACGCGGAAGAGCGCATCGTACCAGTCATGACTGTCTATACTCGAGGACTGCAAGAGCGAAAGCAGAAGTGCCTGGAGGGCACCTGGCACTCCACACGCGATCAACAGCTCGCCCAGAAGCTCGACACCAGGCTGGAGAGATGTCACTCACTGTCCGCACGCGCGCGCGATCCTAGAATTGCCCGTTGCATTGTCAGCCATCCAGCGCGTGTACCTCGAAAAATTCGAGCCTTTCGGGCCATTGGTAGCACAAAATTAACTTCGTCCCCACAACGGCCTTTCCGCTGCCCTAGGTGACGCAACCGTCATATATTCCCTGATGGTTATTTTTTTTTCACTTCAAATCAGTGCTCACGGCATTTGTGCCGTTTACTCCAACCTGTGGTCACACAGGGTTCCTCTTCCTGAGCCCCCCTACTCACCCCTCCTGCGGTGCTTTGCCTTCGATTATTAATGGAAAAGGGACAAGACTGGAGCACTCACTTCCCTCTATGCACATACGAACTAGCGCTTTCCACCCAGGCCAGGAACGGAGGTGATCGAAAAACTAACTTGCAAGACAAGCTCGATTACACCGGGATTCGACTCCCTGACCCTGTCCACTAGAACGTTCGAGGATACCAACCAGACGACCCGGACGACCGGCATATATATTCGCGAGATACACCCAACAAACATGTTGGCGTGTTCTGTCTAGCTTACACGGGTGCCGCCTTTATATTAGCTACCCAAGTCGGCGCAATGAATGAGAACACGGCAACACACGCACACATGAGCGTACATGCAAGCGTTTAGAGCGTTATTCTAAGAGTGAACATAGACCCTTGACAACTATTGTAGCGCGTCAGTCTCTGATAAAATGGGACGTTAATAAAAAAAGCACTCAGCAGCCGTTGCTGTTCTTCTCTCCTCTGCCGTCTTTGCTCAGCCCATCAGATTTTTCTAGCTGAGAACGAAGCTTACCCTTGTGTCCCAGGTCTGGCCACAGGTGCGGTCGAGGAACTGCGGCACGAAGTCCTTGTCGGTGGTGGTCACCACGAACGACTCCAGGCATACCCCGGTTGAGACCGTTTGTCCCGGCGCAAGCACCGTGTCCTCGTACCTGATGCCGGACCAGCGCACATGCGCAAAACAACACCGGTGCTGCCACTGTTTACTATCGGGTGAATCTGGAGCGAAGCCGTAGTCTAGGCGTACAACTACGTCGTTACGTCAATCTTAGAAGAGCTGGTACGGTGGGTTTAAGGTTAGCGTTGGTGCTGGAGGTACAAGGTGTTTGGTTGTACCTGATGTGGATGTCGGCCACGTTTATCTCGATGTTGTCCACGATGCGCTGCACCAGCTTCTCCACGAACCCTTTCTGCATGGATAGACCAATCAACATCGCCCGTTCGATTTTGGGGGGTTTAATACGAACTGGTCGGTGCTAGCGCCACATCGAGCAAGCACTGCTCTGCGTGGATTCTTTATTGCACGAACCCTTGTGGACCAGAACGGAAAATATGGATTTGCCCACAACCGCTCTCGAGATGTAGTACAAAATCTTCCAGCATGGATTGCGTTTTGAGATACACAGCCACATGCTCGTTACGAGGCGCTAACTTCTGGAAATCTAAAACGCCAGCCAATTTCCAACACCAACGCCACCATTTTCAACGACAGCACACGCATTCCCATGTAACCGCCCAGTACCCACCGTGCCGTCATCGCTCCCTTTCCCCCCTTCCTTCTCCTTCTTTGTCGCCGCCTCCGCCTTCTCGAGGGCGGCCCTCTTGATGCCGAGACGCCTCTCCCGCACCTCTTGGTCTCCCCACGAATTCCTATCCACCGGACCCACCAACACGCTAACGCCTTGCAGGAGAACCTTCACGGGTCTGCTTCCCAGCTTCGACCAAGGGATTTCCACCTTCGGGGGGGGCGGGGGGGCGGGGGGTAAGGCACATGGTCAAGTATGCATGGTCATCGATTGCTTATCCCAAGACCTTCCGGCCCGTACAAACCCCAACCTAGCACCTCGGCTTTTACCGACCAGACAGGCATTTCTCACCAAGGCAGATCCGCCATAAGGTAGTCAGCAAGATGCAAAATGGGCGGGCGACTTTCCCACCAATCAACATTACGTACGCTGTCCTTTCTCTGTACTTGTCATTCCCACATACCGCTACATACAGCCATTCCATCTATCTCCTCCACTATCTGATACAGCCTGAGATGCGCAAAACGTGTCTTCCGCTCTCTGCCCCCCCTCCTCCGTTTTCTTCTACAGCAAATCCACCTGCTAACACGTATTGCGAGAAGGAGTCCGTAAGACTCATCTATCTCATTGCCATTTCGGTCAAACTGTGTATGCACTCCTAAGCAGTAACAGTCGTGGTGACGTCCAGACGGTACTTAAACCCGTGTCTTGTGGCCATCTACGTGTTATCTCCAAGACGCCAACAAGAAAGAGCCAACCCTCCATCCGTACGCTTCCTTCAGACGGGTGAGGAGGCAACAACAAGCAGTTTTCGCTTCGGCCACCACCTACTTGGAATTCTCTGTGACACCAGCTGCGCTCCTGAGTGCAAAATTGGAGAGAACAAGAAAGAGGCGCTACAACGTAGAGAAGCTTTCCGCCCAGTGCAAATGCTCTACCTCTAGTTTCTTGACCGTGCCGTGGATGATATTGATCGGCAGTCGCAACTGGTTGACAGCCTCCGGGTTGACCTGGCGTAAACATCATAAAGTCGATGATGATCATTGCAACGATGTTGTAGTCGGCACACAAGAGCAAAGGTCATGGCATAAAATCATGTACCACAGGCGAAGAGCGGCCAGGGGGTCAGCGAGATTTCGATCAGCAGGTCGGATTTGGTCTCGAAATCGCAAACAGGGCCATGTCATAGGAAGAAAAACAAAGCTAGGGCCTCGGCCTGACTGCAACTACACGGGCGGTGTGGTATTGTGGGTGCAGGCAAGTGTGCTATGCGGGCAAACACGCGTATGTTAGTCATCGCAGGGTTCCGCTGTGACCTCGTTACCGTGCGCGACGTAAGATACCACCCCCTGAAAAATTCTTTCAAGCTCAATTACTCCACGAAGAGGACAGTATATTTTTCGGATCCTCGACGAGAGAGAGGGTTACATCAATGCCGCCATTTTCGGCAGTCATTCTTTCTACTGCTGCGGTGGAGAAACCGGGCTTTGAAAACCGATGCCGAGGGTGTGATATCTTGCGTCACGTACTTTCGAGACAAAAAAAGGTTGTGTGGGTCACATAGTCTGCTGAAGTTCCCGCCACCACCACGTGACCAAACCTCCCCACTGCACTCTGGCTTGTTGGATATCAAAATTTGGCGCCATCTATAGAGTTCCTTCGGTGATGGGGACGGAAGAGGAGCATATGCGAAGTGCAAGAGGATGGCCGAATGTTTTGAAAAAAAACGAGTCGGTTGAGTCTTCATGTGCAACACCAAGCGGCAGCAGGTACAAGTTGCGATGGTAAAGATAGAGGCATAGACTAGGGAGAACCAAAGGTCCTGGGAGTAAGCGGGCCTCGGGAGGGCGGTTCATTTTACCTCGTAGGCAGAACGTTGCAATGGCCAACACTGACTACCTCAGTACAGCAGTACGGCATTACGGCAGGGCAGCTGTGCAGTTGTGGCAAGGTATTGAGGGAGAGCTGCGTCGTGGGAAGACTGAATACTAAACCTGCTTGAAGCAATGCGCTACGCAGCCGATTCTCCGCTCTGATCGCGAACGCTCACACCTGCAGCTCATCCAGCACGATCGTGCCCGACCACACCCCGACCTTGAGGCGCTCGGGAGAGAGTCCAACGACATAGTCCGACAGCGCGTCGTGCAGCGCGCTGAGCAGGAGCGCCTTCGCCATGTCTCGCCGCGTGGCAAGAGTAACAAGAGTGCTCACTACGATCCCCTCTGGTTCGGCGGAGTTCCTTCCCTCTCTCTCTCTCTCTCTCTCCTTCCCTCCCCCTCCCCAACTCTCTGTCTCTCTGTGAGAGAATGGCGAGTTGCTACGAAGAGAACGAGGCCAAGCAAAACACTGCTGTGCTGCTGTGCTGCTGTTGTATGAGAAACGGGGTAGCAGTTCTGACCTGCATGGCCACATGAGAAGGTTGGAGGAAATTTCCGAGAAACAGAATGTGTGCACACGCACATCTCGGTATGGTTGTTGTTGTTGTTGTTGTTGTTGTTGTTGTTGTTGTCTTCACATTGTGCGAAATTGAGTACTAGAGGGAAGGGTGTTGCAATCGGGAAGAGGACTACGATGATGAAAGGGTGAAAGACGCGTGACATGAACAGAGGCAACGGGAGAGAGAGGGGAGGAGCCTTCACGTGCGGCCACCGGGTCGGTCTATCGAACAAAACATTCACAAAAAACAACATTTGTTCTCCCGCCGTCCCCACCCGACAAACCGAGTTCCCCTTGAATCTTCGGTCTACAACTTCCCAACATAACGTACAGAAAAAAAAAAAAAAGATAGATACACAACACGTCAAGACGCCGAAAACAGGCGAACAAGATCGACCTCGAACCAGTCAACGCCAATGATACGGGGATGGAGTGTAGACGCATCGTAGAACGCGTTTTCGTTTGAAGTTGGCGTCTTTTTTGAGAGTAGATGTGACAGATTTGCGTAGAATAGGGTAAGATGTTATCATGAACGGAGAAGCAAGGGCTTTTCCAACACGGAGATGTAGCATGGATCAAAGCATTTCTTGGATTTCAGCTTTTACAAGAGGACATCAACGCAGTA